TTGTGGGACACTCTTGTCGGACACTCTTGTAGGAAACTCTTGTGGGACACTCTTGTGGGACACTCCTGTAGGACACTCTTGTGGGATACTCTTGTGGGACACTCTTGCAGGACACTCTTGTGGGACACTCTGCTAAACAAGCTTTTCGTACGAGACTTCCTCCAAAAGTCACGCGTCAAGTCTCAAAAAAGAGCGTTTCGTACGTGACTTCCTCCAAAAGTCACACGTCAAGTCTCCAAAACGAGCGTTTCGTACGAGACTTCCTCCAAAAGTCACATGTCAAGTCCCCAAAACGAGCGTTTTGTACGAGACTTGCTCAAAAACTCACGTGTCAAAGTCTGCAAAACGAACGTTTCGCACGAGACTTCCTCCAAAAGTCCTGCGGAAACACCCATCCACACACATCACGCAGCCCTGCCAAGCAGTTTCGCGATTCCAGCCCCTCCAAATGACACCCGCTCACACGCCAATCCCAATGTGACAGCGACATTCACCTCTACCACAACTCACAACCTCCCGATTCCCTACGCCTGCCACGAATCTTTCCGCGTCCACACGTCTAACGCACACAAAGTACTGCGCCTGCCACGAAATGTCACCTCCGTCACACCTCGCAATGTGAGCTTCAACAAAATTTGCACCACACCACACGTTTGGAATGATTTCGACCCGTTCTGAGCACACTCCCATCCACCAAAATCGGCATTTCAGCTGAGACTTGTCACGAAAACAGAGCTTCGATGCCACACCCTGAAACGCAAATCCCAATGGCACAGCCACATCCAACACCCCAAAAACACGACTCTCCAAACGCTAATCCCAATGGAACTGCGCAGCAATCTGCAGATCTCACAAAACGCTGCGCCTGTGCAGCGAAACGCATTTGGTTTCTTGCGCGGCATGTCATTTTCATGCAAATCACAATGGAATAGCGGCGCAAACTGACACGTGACACATCCATGAAAAGTCACTTGCAAAAGCTTCCCCCAATGGCAGCGCCTTAGTGCTCTACTGCGAACGGTTGCGGACGGTTGCGGACGGTTGCGAACGGTTGCGGACGGTTGCGAACTTAGAAACAACGGGTCGCGAACAAGGCTCTACCCCCAGACCCCCAAGAGTTAAACGAGAACCCTTCGCTACGCATTCGGGAAAAAACTCGCTCCAACCCGCCAGGACCTTCGCTCGATCTTCGCCCGAGTCTCCGCATCACACGCTTGGTATCGCTGGGCGACTCACACTTGCAACTCCTAGCTCGGCGATCTCAGTGAAGACCGTGGTTTAAACGTCCAACAATAGTCTATGGACTATGGATGTCTATGGCTTGCGGGATGAGCCTCCCCAAGCCATAAAGTTGTCCCAAAGCTTAAAAGAAATACAAGATGATGCGTTATACAATATAAAGTTAATCACCACATAGTTTCAAGGATAATACGTTGCTTGGTCAATGGTGAAGTTGGTTTTAAGCCTCTCTGCAATGAATCAATCAATCAATCAACCAACCAACCAACCAATACATCAAATCACGGTCGCCCTTGGAACAATTCCAAACATCATGAGTGAGAGCCGCCTTTCTGTCACTCTAGAAAATGACTCAGACATCTTCTCAGGACCACAAATATCACAAATTAGCCAACACACACACACAAAAACACACAAAAACAACTACCGAGCCATGTCCAAAACCTCATGAACCGTCCGCACCAAGTCCTCTCTCTATCTCGTCTTCTCGGCTCCTCTTCAGTGAGCATCGTCCCATCTGAGTGGGGCAGAAGCTGGAGTTGGTGTTGTCCGCGATGCCCGTCGCTGCACGCTTCCGTTCGCAAGCCCAGCCTAGGCTATAGGCTAGGGACACGCGGAGGTTCGGCCGGCGGTGACAGGTATACAATGAGACACCCCCAAGGTGTAATTACTATTTGTAGGGCTCCAACTATGGAGATGAAACACACATTTTGGCAGGGCGGCTCTATTGATCAACAGAATGCATGATTGCATTATATTATATCATTAGGTGTCGTTCTAGTGCTGCCAGCCCCAACCCCAAAGGATTTCTTCATGAAACCGCTGAAGCCTGGCGGTTTCCGCGTCCCATGAATCTTAAGGAAGTATTACAAGTGTCAGGTCGGGTACGTGTTGAGTGACTTAAAGCAGTTACCAAACTCTTCCATGGCACTGGAACAAATGCCTACATTGACCCTTTTCGACATGTTTCAAGTTTCAACAAATCCCCATGTAGGCAAACAGGCCATGCATGGAGCGTCGGGGGGTTGGGAAATCTCAAAAACATCTATTGACATCTATTGACAAACCCATTCCAATCATTCCATCCCCCACATGCAAGCTCTTAACTCCTGTACTGAAGCAAACCAGCTAAAGTTCCGACTCCCTTCACCCACTCGCCCCAAAAATCACGCCCAACTCCTTCCACCGCCCCACAATTGCTTCATTCTTGGATATGGTTCACATCGCTTTGATCCATGCACGCACGCATGGATGGAAAAAAAACAACCAAAATCGTTAAAAAAAAAAAACGCACCTATACTTACTTACTTACCCACCGTTCTTTCCCCATTCTTCCGGTCTCACCCGGGTGTCCGTCTTCTTTGCGTCGGGTCGCAACGCGTGTCGCGTCGCACGCGTGCGCGGTCCCGTACTTTGGTTGAACCCGCTCTTGGCCGGAACCTTCGGTCGACGGTCGACGCCCAGGCGCATTTGGTGCCATCGCCCGTCATCAAGGTCTTCTTCGCCCATTCGAAGTCCGGGTCCCGAGACCTGAGGAGCGGTTCGCCGGTGGCTTCGCGCGAGCGGCCTGGCTCGCTCGGCCTGGCTCGGGTTCCGGAGTGGCGCGCGCGAGGAAGGTGGGGGGGACTGGGAGAGTGAAAGCGTGAGGCCCAACGGTGACCGTTCCGGAGTTGGGTTTCGGCGAGGAGATCGAAGAAAAGTGGAGCAAGATCAGTAGATATGGAGGAGGAGGAGGAGGAGGGGGAGGGGGAGGAGGAGGAGATGGCTTATTGTTTGGGCATAGATGGGATGACATGTCGTTTTGTTCGAGAGGAGGAGAAGGAGGATGTGTGTGAAGCATGTGTGAAGGAGGGTCATGGGCCTATGTAAAGAGAGCATAGCTAGCACATCTTGGCAAGAACAACACCGTCTATTAAAAAATAATATATATATATATATTGTAAGGAAATCATAGGGAACACCATTAAGATATCAGTGATGATATCTGAACACATCACAAGACACATCTGGGCAAGAATCAAACAAAACCCAATTAAGATCTCAGTGATGATATCTCAACACATCACAAGACACATCTGGGCGAGAATCAAACAACACCATATTAGGATCTCAGTGATGATATCTCAACACATCACAAGACACATCTGGGCAGCAAATCAAACAAAACCCTATCTTGATCTCAGTGATGATATCTCAACACATCACAAGACACATCTGGGCAGCAAATCAAACAAAACCATATCTTGATCTCAGTGATGATATCTCAACACATCACAAGACACATCTGGGCAGCAAATCAAACGCAAAAACTATCACAACAACCCGCAGAAAGGTCACCGTCCCCAGGGTCTCCTCCTGAGCCCCCCCGAGCGTGGCGCACATGCAGGGCTCCGGTGTACAAATGCCCACCTGACGGACACCGGCCGGACACCGATGGACACCGGGCCGGCGCCGGGGAGATCCGAGATTCACCCAGCACTGAACCCTAGGGATCCAAGTACCTTCTCAGAAGGTACGACTGGACCCTCAAAACCCACATAAGAGTGTCTCCAATCACCTTCTGAGAAGGTACTTGGATCCCTAGGGGAACACATGGCCGAGATTTGGTGCAGAAGGAATTGGGTCTCTGTCTGGGATCTGTAGATCAATCTCTTGCGACACCAGACCTGTCAAGAGGCAGATCGGAACCAAACATAATATGTAAGTTCTTAAAGAACATGGAGAACGCCTTGGGTGTCAACACCCGCGAATACCAGGAGTGGGGTAACCAAGGGCATAGAATTTCAGTGATCGCTTTTCCACAGCTATCCCACTGGTGCCTTGACCGTCACTGATGCTTGGTCTCCCCACATTCAAGAAACAAAAGCATCCTTTTCAGGAAATGTGGAAATGTAGGTAAAAACAACTCTCAAAGCAACTGCAGTGTCAAATGACTAGTGGCGATCTTAGCGTCACCCACAGATGGGTGGCCCCAGTGTTTGGGTTTGAGTGCAGTCTGTGCAGCATGAATCCCAACATCCGCAAAGAATAACCGTTTTGGGGGGCTCCACGACTGACGGAACCGGAGCCTCTGGAAGCCCAGACCATTCATGGGACTGGAATCATGTATATTAGTGCCCCATGAAAAGGACCCTAATGTAGGCAACGATTCCAGTCCCATGAATATTGTGGGGACTGTAGTTGTTGAAATGGGTTCTCCACGGCAACGTTGGAGGATTTGAACCAGCAACAGGGTGCAATGGACCATTGCAAATCACTGGTACGTTGCATTCATCCTTGGACCACACTTGTAAGCTTAAGACCTGCACCATGCCTCACCATTTTTTGCCCCACAAGAGCGAATCCACTTCCGGGCCTGTGTGGTGCAAATGGTCGGGTAGCACTTGCAAATCTTGATGTCCATCCTCAAGGCCGAGGAGAGGATCAAACAGCTGAATCACTAACCAGGAGCACACTCCGTACTCACTAATAAAGTGGAAAATCACCCTGTTCGGAATGCAAAGTAACCTTCCAAGGGACCATGCCATCCACCTCAATGTTAGTGAGTCAGAGTGCACTTTTACAAAACCAAACCAACCTCTGCCCGCTTTGGCTGAGAAACTTGTCTTCCGTAGTGGCATGTTCACCATACTGACCACTCACAAATCTGGAACCAACTCTCAACATGTGCATACAAAAGATCAATTGCATCCTTCGAAGACCAAGAAAGCCTGAGATCTTGGGTTATCAACCGCGCAAGCTGTAATTACAAGTCGGTCATCAAGCGATACATATAGATAATAGAGTGACTCGGGTTGTTGGCTAAGGCTTCATGCTGTTGAACTATCTCTCTCTCTCTCTCTCTCTCCATCGCCATCTGCAAAGTTCAGCGTGGCTGAAGGCGAAACTACGCCCTTATTTTCCCTGGAACATCGAATCTTAACCTCTTAACCCACCGGATTTCAGTGGCTTGTCCCCAATGAAGGTCCTGAAAATCCATGTGGCCACCGGCCACCACCCACGTCTCGGACCCGGCCACCGCCCACCGCCCACCGGTCCGAGGCACGGCATCGGGTCGCCGAAGAGCGCGGCGCTGCAGTTCACGCTGCCATCCACGGCCAGGTCGCCGGACCAAGAGAAGAGGCCTTGCCACCGCTCCACGGGGCGGGGCGGCGGGGCGGGTCCGGCGGGTCCGGAAGGCGAAGGGTCGGTCGGAGGAGACCGATACGGGCGGGGTGTCGTTGTTTCTCCGGCAGGTCGGTAAACATAGACTTGGATGGCTTGGCTATATATATATAGAGGTTTCAGCCATATAAGAGAAACCACTCGCATATGGGAAAGACACCTTTAAAACACATAGACTTTGGGGAGAGGTGTGAAAAATAGACTTTGATCTTTGATGGTACTTTTAAGGTTCCTTAAAAGTGGTGGTTTCCAGGCTAAGGAGTTTCTGGATAGTTGCCTCTCCTCTGGCTTTCCTGACAGCATGTGACTGACAGGTCAAGAGAAATCGGACGTACATTTGGTCTTTTTGGGTTGGTGGATGTAGGCCATACAAAAATGAGTCATCGAGTCACTGTTTGCGGTTCCTTCACCAAATTTGTGTTCTTGCCCGGTTTTCACAGCCTCCTCCTCCCTCCAGCAGGTTGCGCAAATCAACTTACTCATGTAAGGTCCAGGTCTGAGGGTCCCGGGCGGCCATAACGGACCTTGCCAAAGCATTTGCAAAGGTCGCCCTCCTTCCCACAGAAGCGGCCGTCTTTCTCATCCTCGGATGAAGGAGAGCCGCTCTGAATCGCCAGTGGCCATGGGTTCATTGAGGTTCCGCAGGTGGTAGCCATATGAGGAGGCTTAAGACGGGTATAAGTCCCATGCTGTTCAAGAGGGATATTCGACCTTCAAAAGCTTTTGCAAAGAGTCTTGAAGGAAAATCATCAAGTCACAGGGTCTGGCTGTTGAAACTACAAGCAAGCATCTCCTGCAAGAGCCGTGTGGCTTCCTCGCTTGGCACCTTCCAACTGACTGAGTTCCCGCACCAATGACAGAAATGCTTGGTTCGACGTCAAAGCATAGCCTGGCTTTGAAAGAAAACCGCTTCCCCCAGGGTTTCAAGAACTCACGCACTCCCAAAGTGGCCTTGCTTTACGGGCACAACAAAAATGGACAGGATTGTCACTATCGGGCCGCAAGTGTCGCTGCCATCAAAACGAAACATACAAAAACGCCTCGTCCAAACATCTGGTGGCTGGTTCTGATGAATAATTGGAAAGCATGGTCTTGGCAAAAGTGGCCACTGCCAAAGTCAAATAACTACTGTACCCATCGAATTATGAATAGTGACCACCCCAAACACCTCAGAAGGCATTTGGAGCCCTAGGAATTGTATAACCATTCCCATCTACAAATTGAACACACCTGAAACCACCAGCTGCAGTATAGTTGATGCTGTAAATCCAGTACTTCTGCACCCAAATCACCAAGCCACTGAGCCCACAGGTCTTCTTTGCCAGCGACAAAAACACCTAGCGCGAACATGGATGTTGTGCCTGGTGCTTCTTCTAGGTCTTCCTCTGGGTATTCAATCTCCACCACATCCGCGTCTCCTGCTGATCTTCGGCTGAAACAAACATATACATGGACAAGCACAAACCAATCTCTTCCTGCAAAGGCGTTCAGAAGCATCTTCAGACGCATCTTCAAACAAAAGGTCACCTGCTAGGATAGGATGGGTGCACTAGTTACACTAGTCGGTTCATAATCCAAAGTAGGTCCTGCATGTATGACCAGGTATTGTCACATGGCTAACTACTGGTAGAAGAACGGTCTGAAGCAGCCACTTGCAAATTGGTCGAGCCAATGCCCTTCGATTTGGTTTTGGAGAACCCAACAGAACAACCCATTCAACCTTCAGTAGCCGTATGTTTATGTTGAGTGTCGGACGTACCTTCCTTCAAGCTGGACAACGCAAAGCTAAAACAAAAACTCAACAAGTTGCCAGGTCGGATTGTATGGAAGTATAATGAAGTATATATATATATAGACATCCCCCTTACTCAGAAGGATGCTCAGGTCAAGCACCAAATCGGATTCCATCCCCCGTCCGGAACCCCCCTTCGGAGACGCCGTGCCCTTGCGTCTGTCTCCTGCGTCTGCTTCGCGCTGCGCGCGACGCTCGGAGCGGCTGGGCAACTTCACCAGAATGGCCACCAACTGCAGTGGAGGCAGTAGGAGGGATGTTGGGCTGAGAAGGAAGAAAGGGAAAGGAAACATGTCATGTGCTTCCTCTGCGGAATGAATAGTAGTGAAAAGCTATGCACTTTGATTGAATTTTTGTGATCGCCAAACAAATCCATGATTGTCTTCAGGTTGCGAAGTTGATCTCTTGGGAACTGGTGAGAAATGTTGATTTGGAATGTTGGAATATGTTGGAACAGTACTGGTTTGCTATCATTATTTCGATTCTACACCACTCATTCGTCAGTCCCTGCTTTCCTTATAGGATGGGACAGGAGTCAGGAGCTCTACCCATGTAATGATCCATACCCTCCTCAAAACTCTTGGCTCAATTCTGAATTGGTGATTAAATGTGATTAAGATATTAAGGGTAGTTTGTATAGGGGGTTGCCAAAATTTCCGTCTTTGGGATTGGAGCCAGCAGTTCTGAAGAGGCTGTATCGGAAAAGATGATGCTTGCAAAACAAGGACCTGCCATTCCTTGCCTCCGGCCCAGCTCAAGAACCGTAGACAAACCGTTTAAAGGACACTTTTTGGAGTAGAACCTCCGTTCTTTGCCGTGGAAAAGGCATGATTTGCCATGGAACCTGGCCTCACCAAGCCTGTATGCACAACCCGAAGTGGATTTCACACAAACTTTTATCAAAAAAAGAATTGCTCTTGCAACAACGCACGGATACCTTTGAAGCACTGGAATTTGCAGTCGTAGCCGTTCTTCCGATCCCACAGACAGTCCGCGAACACGTCCGGTTCACTGAGAACACGGACAGCCGCACAGCCGGCCGCGAACAAAAGGCGGCCGCTGGCACTGTGACGTCGACCTGGCACCAAGTCGACATGCGACCTGCGACCTGGGTTGTTTGCATGCGACCTGCGATGGTAGGTTGAGCCCATGATCGAAATCCTATAAAGCCTATAGGGCTCCTGTCCCATATCCTCAGGAGAAGGTGGTATTCGACCCCCCTGGCACCCACCCCAACCATCTTTGAAAAGGAGGTAGGCCAGGAGCCCTATAGGGAAAATTCATGGTTGAAAGACCTTCGACCATCCGAGCGACATTCATGCGCCAGGGCCCCGCACGGGCTGGACTCTTCGCTTCGCGTGCCAAACTCTTCAGTCTTTGACTTGGACTTGCTGAAGCTGGAGAAAATACCACATATGTATAGTTCCCATACAAGGGATTTAACCACAGGGAAAACCACCAAAACAATCCACCTGATCCGCCATGGCCGGCTACAGGTTTTTCGGAGTGGCGGACCCCTCGCAAGGTCCAAAAAGTCCAGGTTTTCCAACCCACCGCCATTCGGTTGGAGGAGCACATCAAGGTGTTGGTTCCCGACCCTCACGGACATTGTATATACCCTATACGGCTGCACTCGTACCTCCCGAGAAGATGGGACTGGGGTGGGTGGGTGCCAGGGGGGTTCTAACTATCCACCGAACCTGAGGATATGGGACAGGAGCCCTGGATAACTGAGTGCAGTTCATTCTCATGAAAGGGACACGTCTCATACTCAACGGGAGGCTCGGCTTGCAACACACCTGGCTTCTATGGGCCCAGTGGTTAATCCAAACAGAAAAAAAGCCGTGGAAGAACCTTGTCCGTCGAGGAAAATGATCTTCCCAGGAGCAAAGCCATCCACTTCCATGTGATGTGTTTCCATGTTGAGGGCTGGAGGGTACACCAACTCATAAACATCCAAACTCGACTAATTATCCCATAAGGTCCTATAAGATTAATTACTTACAGTAACCTCTCTTGGATGGAGTAGGACACCAAACAAATTGCTTCAAGCACTACCGTAGAACTTCGGAGGCAAACCTAACAAAGTGAACCCACCACCAGTGGCGCTGCACCATCTATCTGTCAAAGGTACCACCTTTTGTGTACCAAGCTCAAAGTCTGTCATGACCGGGCCTGGACATGCCCAACATGTTACTTAAAAGTAAACTAGTAAAAACAAAAACAACACTCCCCCTAGGGATCCAAGTACCTTCTATAAGAAGGTGTTTGGGGTGGGTTTAGAGGGTCCAAATACCTTCTGAGGAGGCACTTGGAGCGCTAGGGTCCAGCTTCTTCAAAGTGACCGTTTGATATTTTACCACTTTAAAAGGGGGTCACTTAGGATAAACACACCAACCAACCAAAAGGAGGCTAGACTCGCACCAGTATAGCGTCTAGCCCCGCCCCGCCCTGCGGCCCGCGGCAGCCTTTCGACCCCGTCATGGGGTGTCCGCCCACGGAGTCTTGGACTGGCGCCCTCTGACTGAGAACGGCTACGGAACTGGCAGTGGGACAGGACCGCCCTCGATCTACGAGTACTCGAATGGGTGCTTGGTTCAGGACTCAGGACTCGTCACCTGGGATACCTCGATGATAGATGGGATACGCCCTGGAAGACTCATATGGACCCTAAAAGCCACGTCAAGTTGGTATTCGGACCATGGTTGAAAAGCACGGCCCGTTCATTCGAAAAGGGTCCATAGATGTCCATTTTGTGTAGTAGAACTGCCGAAGTACAGTAGTCGAACTGCCGGTTCTTCAACTTCTGTTTTAATCCAGGCGAAGTGACCGTTTTTTTAGGACCCTACCAGGACCCTCCAAGGGGTGTCCACACTACCTATAGGCTTCCATTGGGCACCCCTTAGAGGGTTCTGGTACAGAGGATCAGTTTATAGGGTTCTTCAACTTCTGAAATGAGGCATCGTCCAATACCCGGTCGGGTCCGCTTCGAGTCGAACCGATCTGCACCGGTACCGATCTCGTCGACCGATCTCGCTCGGGGTTTCATCGGACCGTGGTCGGATGTTGGACCACAACCCGTGGTCCAAAGCGGCTTCAACGAGTCACTGAGACTCACTGGAAGTGGTTCTGACCGCTAGACCGCTAGGCCGCTAGGCCTATGCCCTACTAAACGAGAGACCCAGTGAAGGCACCTGGGATATGAAAACAGTACCCATAGAGCGTGGCTTGTAATGAAATCGTGTCTGGAAAAGTTGAAAAGTACGTTTCGTGGGGTCAATTGGTTTATGGGTGAAAAGAACATGGTGCATGGTGGGGACGTACCGAAAATGAACCACCTGAATGAAACACCTGGCACCTCTAAGTATGTTCATCTGTCTAATGAACCACCGGAGCTGAAAGAAATGCGATGTTTTTCCCTTTTTATGCGACTCCACCGAAGCTCATGTGGCAAGCAGGGTCGAAAGGCCGCCAAAACCACGCAGCCATGCAGCCATATGCGGCTGGGAAAAAACAATTAACAAACAATAACACATAATCTTAAAACATACAGGTTTTGTTAGGCTTTGTTGGCTTCGAAAGGATTCTTTAAAATAACATCCCCACGCTATATGACATTCACCTTGGCGATCTGGCCGGAGTGCTCCTTTTCTGCTGCAGAAACGGTTGAAGGACGCACATGGTGCGACCCCGGCAGAACGCGACAGGCATCGACGTGTCTGCTGCGAATCGGGTGAAGTGGCCGGAATGGAGCGGAGCCAGAACTTCCAAACCTGTTTGGCCTCCAGTCGTACCGAACCTGAGGTGGGACTGGGGTGGGTGCCAGGAGGGTCCGGTCAT